TATATATATATATATATATATATATATATATATATATATATATATATCTTTATGTTGTTAGTGCAACAGATTGTACAGACCTTAGGTGACAGAGATATTTCTTGCATATCAATCTCCGCGTTTAGTGATTCGCGGATCTGCATTTCTCTCCATAGTTTGTTAAATAACATTTTAGAATTGCCATTAATTAATTCAAGACAATAAACAGAGATTTAATAAACTCGTGCTGTCCACTTACCCTTTATCATGCAGCATATGTACAGCAGCTTCATTCTTTTCACTTCTCTTAACTGCTCAAAATTCCAAGAGAAACAAGGAGGACAGAACCTCTAAAAATTAATTGTACCTTTATATATATATATGTACCAAAAGAATTCAGTACTGTCCATATATAGTTATACTATAAGTTATTAAAAACTTGCCTTTACTAGTGTTAGGGGTGCTGATGATGTCTTTACTCTGTCTGTACTTCTGAAAACAGCATGAACTCAAATATTAGTTAAGTGTTGAATTACTTCATCATAACAAAAAATGCAAGAGTACTTGAAACTTGTATAAACTTGTTGTTGAAGATATCATTAAGTAAATAAAAATGTGCTCTCACTAACAGCTTAAACTTTTAGATGAGATGATTACACACTTCAACAATATGGTATCAGAACAGGCAGAAGCCCTGGGTTCGAGTCTCCGAGTACCTGGAGATGGCTTTTGATATGGTCTGAAGTGATATCTTCATCATCCATGAGTTTCATTATATTCTTCGGAGTTGCTTCTGCTCATTCAAAAATTTTAAAACATGTATGTTTATTCCTATTGTAATATACATACCAAATATATTATGTTCATCGCGTAATATATATAGTAAGACAGACCAAATGGACCTCCTAATTCATTCACTGCTTCAACAAAGTGATCATGGACCTCCACTGTCCACCTAAACCTTGGTTTTCTGTTCAGATCATGACTTGGGACGACGGCTTTTTCAGATGTTTCTTCACTCTTTTGCTCCTTGCTGCTTCCCTCCATATTCTCCCGGTTGTGCGTAGTTGCAGTCAGAGGAGGATATATACTGATTCTACGAGTTCAACTGAAACTATTGCTTATGACTCGATTGATCCTATATACATGTATAAAAAGAATATTAATAAGTATCTAGAGACATTCTGAACCCATTAAAATTTGAGTTCACCTTTAGTTGCAATGTGGATAATTATATTCTATAAACAAAATCAACTAAAACCAGAAATTGTTAAAGAAAAATAAGAGATGTTTGAGCAATACAAACTGCATGCTAACCCTAATGCAGCTCGTTATATGGAGTGCTACTCCATAGAAATATCCTAGGTCACCAACCTGATCATCTCTTTGCTCTAGTTTTTCTATATATCCAAGCACTCTTCTTAATAGCAATTCTGGAATCAGATGACTCCCCATTTGTGGTCCTGCCGCTCCGTAAGTACCTGTTCTGCTGGCAACAACATACCCAGTATAATCCTACATAGTGGGTTTGGGGAAAATAGAGTGTGTACGTAGAGAGAGGTTGTTTTCAATAGAACCTTCGACTCAGGAAATGTAAAATAGTTGTTCTGCTGCTAATACTAATTGTGTTTAACTTCTATCTAGTATGGTCACCTTAAAGATAATTACGCTAAAGTCCAAGAAAAAGAGATTAGTAGCCTGAGAAACAAGACAATTATTACCAGCTGTTACACTAATAGTGTAATTAGTCAAATTCATACTTCTTTTGTTCCCGCCTAGTGTCCGGCAACTGCATTAGGGCCAAACTAATCCGGATTCACAGTGCATAGACCAACTAAGGGAGGAAGCGCTTGAATTTCTTTTTATTCCAAGAATTCGAACCCGAGACCTCTGTTAAGAATGAAAGGATCCTATACGGCTCACCAAAACCTTGGTTGGCAAGTCAAATCATACTAATTAAGCTTTTGAGTCGAGAAAATTATGATAAGCAGTGTAGTGTAGTTACTATACTTGGCACTAAAGTTCTCAAATTTCTATCTTATCTTTGCTACAAAAAGATGCGGGACTGCAAGTGCATGCAACCTGCCATTAAAAGAGATGGATATTCCCTCATTATTTTTGCTAGGTAACACAAAACAAAAGAATTATAGTACTGTTATCTTTGGATGATCTAATCAATGTTACCTTATCATTTGCGATATTTTTTTCGACGATCAGGATGTCAAATTCAGCCTATTATAATATAACACATCCAACCCGCCTAAGTTTGAGTGGATTTGGTTGTGCATATATTCCCTGCTACATAAAGAATTAGCCGTACACCCACTCCACTCTTTAAACTAAAAATAATTGGTTGGATATATAAGATATGTATAATTCATACATAATATATGGATAACCGTGTATAATCGGTATATAATCTATATATACCGGTTACGAAAAGTAAGTGTAAATACAATCAACTATATATATAGGCGATCTATTGATTGTATTTACCCTTAGTTTTCGTAACAGTATATATAGATTATATAAATTATATATATAATTAAAAAAAAATTGCGTGAGTTAGGTTAAAACATATTATTTAGTGCAAATTGACCCGCACTTCTAAATTCAAGTATACAGGTAATATATTAAAGACAAACCTCCCATACCATCATCATGCATTGAAACTCCTTTTATTTTCAGTTTTTATTAATTTCTTCCTTTTGCTGTTATTTTGACCAATAGAGCATACTTCATATGTCTGTAAGAACACATAATTACATTAATCATGATGTTATCTTTATTTGGATTCCTATATTTCTGCAAACAAATTTGCATTAATCTGCTCACATGATCCGTTAGGACCCGACCCACCCTTATTTCAAAATTATTTGATATATTATTTTTGTTTGATTGAGAAATTGTGTGATAATCATATTTATTTATTTATTTAAGTAATTTAATAAATGATTTTTTTTGGTTATACATCATTTCGGGAAGTAATCCTACTAAAAGTCGTAATTGATATTTATTTATAATTTTAATAATATAATATTCGAATTAGTTTGTGCTTTCTTCAATCATTTTACCCTCTATTTTTATTTTTCTCACAATCTATTTGTATTTTTCACCAATTCGTTTTTATTAATTAATTATTTTATAAATAAAAATACACATATTAAATCTTCTTGGCCTTGTCATTTTTTGAAATTAAGTGCTTGCTTTTGTAGGTCTATTTTAGGGATATTCGTTGTTGTTTCAACGCAAGATCTTTTCTTTCCTTTATAGCTAATTTCAATGCTTCCTAAAATAGGCACTTCCTCTATATATGTACACATTTATTTCAGCAGCTTATTTTCCCATGTCATAAATCAAACCATCCAATCTGGTTATGTGCTCAAATCTGACCGTCTAATTTTGTAGTGAATTTTGACAAGAATGTACTGCTACTTAATTGGTTCTTTATCCTTTTTCCCTTAGGGAATCTGATGCAGTCATAAATACTAACCAATAAACTAGCACTACGTGACATATACTTTTGTGCTTAGGATGAGATGAGATTCTTACAAAATATCTGCTCTCTTTAATCCAGGTCGATATCTTCTAGTTCTACTATACTAAAGTACTCACATATATATATAACAGTGTTAGTTATAAATTAGTATTAGTACTCGCGCACGGACACAAATCATGTTCAGTGGCGAATCCATGATTTTAAAGTCGTGGGTGCTCACTGATAAAAATTGTAAAAGAAGAGAAAAAAAGAGTTTAATTATGGGTGCTTACTCAATATTTATCTAAATATTTTTATAATTACCTATACAAATTTACTAAATCTTGTCAAAGATAATGGGTGCTTGAGCACCCAAAAACAGCATGTAGATCCACCATTGATCATGTCAGATTATGATTTGGATTATTTGAATTATGTATAAATAACTTTAAAATATAAACCTTCCAGATAAAATTTATAGATAATCATTAGATATTAATTAAGAAGCAAGACATAAAACCATTTTGCAAATCTCTTAATAGATAAATAACAACTTTCTCACCTCAAATTTAAATAAGTTTTATCATTTTTCTTTATGATGAAAGTTTTGATTAATTTCTCTCTATTTATTCCTTATTTTTGCTATTTTATTATTCAATACATAATATTATTACATTGTTATGTGGCTTTCATTAGCTTGTTTAATTTAATATCTATTTCTACCACACTCATTTTATTATTAATCATAAAAGTTAATTTTTTATTTGTTTGAACACATTATATGTAATGGTAATATTTTCACTATCATTTTATTTCTCCATGTACTATTTCTAAAAATAATAAAATAATAAAATGAAAGAAAGCAGATCAAGTGGTTAGTTAATAATTATATTTGGAAAGCTATCAAAATTTATTTAGTATAAGAATGTGAGTCAATTTTAATTGATTTCTACCATAAATTAAATTTGATCAAATCTAAGTTGTTTTAATCCTTATTAAATTTGTCTAAAAATTTATTTAGATTATGTCTTAAAAATGCAAAGTAGAAATATTTCTATTTAGATTATTTCTCCGTACTATTTCTAGGTGACATTTTCTGAATATGCCACTTGGCTTAATGTCATGCATCACTACATTCATTTTAATATATATATAATATTTAAGTTTTTTCTTATCTTATAAATAACTTTATACTTTATGTAAGATCTTATTTTACTGCTTGAATTTTTTTAATTTTTGAAGTCAATAAATCTTTAATATCTTAAGTAAGTTTTATTTTATGTTTTAACTTACTTCAAAGTATAAATAGTCATAGGTTATCTCAATTTATGTCTTTCTATATTTTTTTATTTTTTTCCCATTTTAGTTTTTAATTAAATTTTTATCTCCATATTTCTAGCTAATTTAGAAGAAAATCTATGAGTGGATCAATAGAGAAATAGATATATTTAGATTATGTATAAGATTCATTAAATTACTTCCTTTAATATGTTTCCATTTATAATTTCTAATAATTAACGTTGTCATACAATTGCCAAGTGGCTTCATTTTAGCTTGCCACTTGGCTTAACCATAATGCATACTACTCTCCTTTTAATATAATGTAGATATAGATGTTCAGTTTAGAAACGAAAGGCAGCTAATTTCTAAGAATATCTAAACAATCACGTAAAGAGCAAATAAAGGCAAGATATTTGTCTACTTTTAAACATATTCCAAGTCCTCCCTATTTGTCATGTGCATATTTGGAGGTGCTACATCTGTCCAATTTGTTAGATATGATTTTAATAATGCAAATAATATATCTGTTTTATGTGTAGGAACTCATGGATAACATTCAAAGATCGAAGGAATCAATTAGAGAAAATCAAGGAATCAATGGATAGCTACAAGATGAAAGGAATCAATTAGGGAAATCAAGGAAAGCAATTCGAAATTAGAGAAATCAATCAAAGCCAAGACGGAATCAATCAAAGCCTAGACTTAAGGAATCAAATAAATCTAGCATATCCAAATCTAGAAGGAGCAAGATTTTGGGAAGCATATATGGAAAATCATTCAAGTCTCTCGTCAAGCATAGCCGTTGTTGTATAAGCTTATTCTTGGAAAGAATTAATTTCTTTCCAAGGATCAAATCTCTCCAGAAACGAAGCCTCTCTCAAAGTATTTAAACTTGTATCTGTACCCTAGAGCCATATTCTTTGATCGAACCAAATACCTTCTCTTTGTTCTACTGCAAACAAACATTGTAGCTTTACTAAATCTGCTGTGTAACAAGTTAGAGAAGAAAGAGAGAGCAACTTTGGTGAGGCATTGTATCAAAAGAAACAAGTGATATAGAAACTAAGCTATCAATGTAGATCACACCATTCTCTGTGTACTCGAAGAAACTCATTCACTGAAAGAGAACCCCCTTGCAACCCAAAGGGACTGGACTAGGATTCACATTGAATCCGAACCAGTATAAAAACTTCGATGTCTTTAATTCCTGCGTTTAATTTCTGCATTTTAAATTCTGTCCTTATTAGTATCAAGTTCTTACATCTAGTCGACTAATTGTAAAACTAGTCAACTAATAACTATTAAGTTTAAAAATAAATAATTCACCCCCTCTAGTACTTTCAATTGGTATCAGAGTGAGACTCGTACTTTTCTTTTGCTTAACAACTTGTGAGAAAAGATCATGGCAAATCAAGTTATCATAGCATCACTCTTTCAAGAAGGAACTTCCCAAGTAAGGCCACCATACTTCAATAGACAACATTTCTCCCACTGGAAAGCACGTATGGAAATATATGCAAAGGCGTATGATGTTAAAGTGTGGAGAGTTATCAAAAAGGGAAACTATCCTCTGCCGGCTGCTGCTCAACCTCTTACTAATCCTGAAGATATAAACTCATATACAGATGAGCAAATGGCGGTTGCGCAAGTCAACAACAAGGCAAGAAATTTGCTCTATAATGCTATAAGTGGTGAAGAATATGAAAAAATCTCCAGTTGTGATACAACCAAAGAAATGTGGGAAAAGCTTGAAGTCAAAAACGAAGGAACCGACAAAGTAAAGGAAACACATATCAACATGTTGGTTAACGATTATGAACTCTTCCAGATGGAAGAAAGAGAATCTATTGAGTAAATGCTTGCCAAATTCAGTAAAATCATTAGAGATCTAAAAGCTTTCGGCAAACCATACTCAAGTGGTGATCAAGTTAGAAAGATTCATAGAAGCTTACCAACCACTTAGCAAACTAAAGTAGTCATACTTGAATCATATGATCTGAATAAATTGTCTTATGATGAACTTCATGGAGACTCATAGCTTTCAAAAAGACATATCTTAAGAAAACAAACTAAGAAGAAAAGAAGAAAACAGTTGCATTCAAGGCCACAACTGAGATAGCTGAGAATGATATCGATGATGATCCTGAAGCTCTTCAGAAGAAATTGCTATGATGTCAAAAAACATGGATGGTTTAATGAGAAGATTCAGGAATACGAGAAGAGGAATGATCCCACCTAGGGGAACCAGGCAATACAACGAACAAGATAAGAATGATGGAAAATGCTATGAGGGTGGAATATTTAGACATATTCAAGCCGAGTGTCCAGATCTAAAAAGAA